GTACTGTAGATATGAATTTCCAAATTGAACGACAGCCAATCAGAGAAAATGGTAATCAGAATGTTTACAATTTTAATAGCCATGAAGAATGAATTGGAACCACAAACAATATTACATGACAGTGTTGGCGTTACGGGGGGCGCAGGGGCATTTTACTCCCAGAAAATGTTCTCTCCCCCCCACCCACTCACACCATAGAAAAGAAGGAAAACCACAATTTTTGAAAAAAATATGTATTTTCTACATATTAGAGTGCAGCTTAACTCAGTTGGCTAATCTGGTAGTCACTATGTGTGCGCTGAACCGTAGAGATCTCTAGGTCCCCGGTTCAATTCCCATTGCTGCCTATCCTTGTGTTTCAGCTGGAGGGCTGAAATAAAAGTTACAAATAGCGCACCGTCTTTCGGATGAAACATTTAAGCTGTTGGTCCCGGGTGCATCTATGGACCATGTGTACGTTAAAGAACGCAGTACACTCTTCGGAAAAGAGTAGGGGATTTTCTTCCAGTGTACTACACAATCACCACCAGAAGGAACCCACTAAAAATAAGTCAGACTTCTTCTAGACTTTTGTGGGCAATCCTTGGTGTTTACACCAAATAAACCCAATTCAATCCAATCTATATATAAAATTGAAATAATCCTCTGAAAACATATTTTTTCCTCATATTTTTCGGGGGCTCCGCCCCTGCACCACTTTTTAAGAATTTTAATCGACACCCGACAAAGCCAACTTTGCTCTTGCCAGCGACCTTGCCCCCAAAAATTGTACCTTGCCCTTCACTTTCCCCCCCCAACCAGAATTCAGACGCTGGCGCTGCCACTGCTACATGATAATTTTCAACTAACACTATATTGCTTGCCACTCACCTTACTATACTAACATTATGCCATTCACTGTCTGATATGAACTTATCTGATGAGATGACCCCTACAGAGGAATGACCTAGATTTATTCTGAAATAAATATTCAACAATAAATTAAATTGCTGAAGGTAAAAAAAAAACCTTACCATTTGTAAATTCAAATTGATCCATCTGGTTGATTGAAAACGAAATGAGCGGTTTTAGAGAGGCCAGTAAAAAATATATGCTTTATCATCATTAATGGGAATAATGAAATATTGAGCTCTTAGTCTCTGAAATATGATTTTATGCTTTACTGCATGAAAATACAAAGATACACATGAAACAGAAAATACTGTAAGGTGAGACTTTTTTATACCATGTTTAGCAAACTTGCTGCCTGCCAATTGTGATGATTTTAAATAAAAATAAAATTATATTTTTGGCAAATTAGCGCACATACCGCCACCATGGAAAAATGGAAATGTCAGAAAAAACCAATCATTTTTTTTTATTTATTTTTTTTTATTTTCTTCTCTGAATGTTTTTGGTACAACTATTTGCTATTAACAGGAGAACAATTTTTTTGTGCCTTCCTCTGATCTTTCTAAAAATAAGGTAAAAAAAAAAAAGTCTTGACTAAAGGCTGACTCAGCCACAGCCTGTCACGATTTGTTGTTGCGCTGGGTCTGTGTGAGTTATAATCGATGACATAACAGGTCTGCGTTGGGATAGTCGCATCGTAGAATATCAAACCTATCTGATAAATAAATCGCGTTGGGCTGCGTCGTACGACGCGGTCCGAGTTGGCCATAACATGCCACTAAAACTCTGTTTTCTTTGACTATATCACACCAATATATGGGAAAATCACAGATATCTGCCACATAAATCTTTATATAGTCTGGCCATAGCTTTTCCATAAACCATGTTTCAATATACTGTGCTACAAAGGAATGGCATTACTATTACAGTAGTTGAGAAAATGTGTTGTTTTGCAGAATATGGTCACATGACCCTGAGATTAGGTAGCAAGAATCTTGTGTCCACCAATCTGAAGCAATTAATATGTTTACAACTGCGCTTTACTTCTAGAAAAGGGTTCTCAACTATATTTATAACAGTGACCAAATTTGTAGATTATAAATAAACTTTAAATAAACGATCATGTCCATAGCTAGGATGTTTGGGGGAGCGGGAGGGGGGGGGTGGCCACTCAAACATAAAAACAATTTTGTAATGTACATGCAGTATGAAATGATGCAATAATGCTAGTCTTAAATACAACTATGTTAGATTTGCTTTAGTGCTATGGATAACATGCACTCATGGGCCCAAAATTGGCTGCAGGCCACTAGTTGAAAACCAATTGTTCTACTGAAAATAATAAATATAATAGGAAACTACAGTATAATTGACAGCACGGTTCTGGGAAGTGAAAGAGGCAAGATTTCTTTGGTTTCTAATTCCAACATATGCAATGTTTCACTTTTAAAGAAACAAAGAACAATGGGATTCAAACTACAGATCTAACATTAAGACTACATTTTAAAAATTTAATGAGATATCGAGACAATCAATGTTAGGTTATGTCCCTGGAGTTGACTGGGATTCAGTAACTAAATAAGGGGTACCGGGGGTCATAGTAGCACTCATATCTTGACTATGGGCTTCGAATATAATACAATTAAAAATATGCATAAATAATCTCAAATAATTAATATAACAAATGTAAGTAAACAATATACCCAAGTTTCAGTCGGCCATTTTCAATCCCAAGGCCTAAGTAGTCAGAGCCGCCAGACGTAATTGGCTGACCATTCCAGAGAATCAGTCCATCATTGGCCGATGTTTTGAAGCTGACCAACAAGGATGTGCTTGTTTGGCTGCTCTGGCTGTGATTGGTTTGGAAGAACAGAAAGCCATTTCCATCCAGCTGAGCTGTTTCAACATTCAAAGCTGCAAGATTTGAAGGTTGACATAATGGGAACACAACCTATTAATTAATTTCGTACAAAATCTACTATAAATAGAACACGTTACTGACATCGCTAGACCATGTGACAGTCTCTTTGTTACTAAGCAACACTAACGCAAGCTGTCAATATGGCTGAAATGCTTCATACAACTAAGTTACAGTTTCATTTCATTTTTATTTTCAATTTCATATTCATTTTCCAAAAATAACACACAGACAACAAACAATAAGTATAAAATTAACCACTGGTATTGGCAAATAGGCATATTTCTAACACAAATGTATATCTGTATCTATGCCTTAATTGTTCAATTTATGAACAAATAAATATAAATCAGATAACTGACATTTAGTGAGTTTTCAGGTTTATAAGTTTTTAATCACAAATAATTATATTCTGATTGCAAAGCTCAACTAGCAAAATACTGTACTTATCTCAAGTTACTAATTTGTTACCTCTATCTATTAATTTATTTATTTCTAATATGATAATAATGGTAATTTATTCTAATTTTATTAACTGTTGAAAATTATTAACTTCAAATCAGGATTTTAAAATATTTAATCCATTTTAGTTAAGTCACTTTTGGTTTTGTTTTAGTAGAAGATTAATGTTTCAATTTTTTTGCATCTATTTGATGAGGAATAAGAGAAGTTTTCTGCTTACACCTATTCCTTGTTCCTGGCACTGAAGAAATGTACTTTTCTTTGCCAAATAATAATTATTATAAGTCAATCGTGATATCATCACTGCAACTCCCAATGTTATTTGCCTATCATCCACAGTCCAACAATTTTTCAATTAGTGGATCTTGGCTTGACCTTTTTTAGGTTCATGTGCAAAAAAAAAAAAATTCCTAATTTTTTGGTCACCGCTAAGACATTTCACACAGCGATGAAAATTGAATTGTAATTGAAAATTTACCTGAAGTTAGTTACTTCAAATTCAGTATGAACAATTAAGGAATTCATTGAATCAATGGACCCTCATAAACTAAACAAACTGAACGTTAATAGGAATATTCTAGAGTTATTTTAAAGACTCAAAGAAAGAAATTAGGTGTAGGCCTACGGCCAGAGTAGGCAGGAAGCCTGCGAGGCCAACTCCCTTAGGTTGTAGCCTAGCCTAGTTATGAATCATCGCACGATTTTACCTGTCGGCACCGACCGACTGTATTCTCTCTCAAATTCTTAAGAAATGTTTATTTCTTTGACGAATGTCCATCAAAATAGCATTTACAAACAAATTTTTCAAACACAATACAATAGGCCTAGTTATTCATTGTATCCGTCTGTGCAATGTCGTTAGCTCTGTGACTGAGTTAACGCATACGCATGTTGCACAAATATCAGCATACACACAGCTAAATGTAAACACGCACACAGATACTACTACTGATTATATCACTATAGCAACCGATGACTGCTACAACAGTTGGTTATCAAAACTAACAAAAAAAGACGGTGATAGACTTATAACGCAATTAGTAGAGCATATCGTACACTAACGGAAAATTATTATACTTATGTTAGATTAAATGCATCCAAAAATTTCCTTGCAGGCCCTCAGGAAATATTTTCAAGCATTGAATATAACCTTCATATAATAATTTTCCTATGGTGTACTATGCGGAGCTCTACTAAGCTTATTATTACAAATTAAAAAACGCTATAAAACTGTAGCTTAGCTGTAGAGGAACTTGGCTGTAACATTGCTCAGTAACAAAGTGTATTATTGTGATGTAGCGATGTACTTAATGGATTATTTTTGACATGGTCTACCTCACTGTTAATTCTTTTTATGGACATGCAAGTGGTTTGCTAACCACAGTCATAATAGAGTCAGCTTAATTCCTGACATATATAACAATGTATTTCATATACTTCTACAATCACTCTAATCACTCTTAATCATTATATTACTAGAAAGCAAAGTACAGGCTATATTTGGTCTACGTTATCATAAATAATGACTACATTTATGGAGATGAAATGAACAAGGAATTAAAAAGGGAATTCCCCTTTTAAACAAGAATGCACTTTTGAATAACTATTATATTCACTGTTTGAAGGCTATTCTTTATGATGTTCTCAGCAAGCTTACGATTCAATGTGTTGTTTACTTTCTAATAATAAGCTCTATTTCAGACTGTAATAAAGTTGGCTATGGGCCATTCTTATATAAATTTGTCCTAGTGCAAAATAAACAAGTATCTTGTATATACTACTTATTTATAAATAAACTTATATGATATTAAGATATAAATCAATTATAAGATAGTTTTAGTTGCAGAGACTATGTATGTGTGTGTGTGTGTGTGAGGCAGCAGTTTCCCCATGCCACAAAAGATAATAATAATGAGGTTCTAAAAGTACAAGTTATAACAAACTCATGATCACACAGAATAAAAAGGCTATTGGCTGGGAATTTGCAGCTTTAAGTTTTGGTGATGTGCACCAGCGGCCTGGTCATATGTAGCAGAAGATGAGAAAGGAATCTGCTTACCTATTTCACAAGTTGTCCCAGTCCATCCCAACTGACACGCACATGTATATGACCCTTGGATATGGTCCGGGAAACACAATCCTCCATTTTGACAAGGAGTATTGTAGCAAAATATGGATTCGCTGCACGTTTCACCTGTGTAAGGCTGAGGAAAGAGGTATGAGAAAGATTAAGAGATGCCTCAGCACAGCCAGTATGCAGACAATGTATGTCCATATTTCTCAAGTACAGGAAAGGGAAAAAACACAGTCCCATCAAACTTACACAAGGATTATGATTAGGTCAGTGTTCAAGGGTCACATTAATGTGGATTTCTACTGGCCCTAAAAATTCTTTGTACAGTTTCAATGTGCTTCAAACTTTATGTACAGATGTTGTTTTTATTGTTCTATGGTTTTATTAATGAAACATTGCCGTGACCAGATCCTAACTAGATGTTTACAATATTAGAATTCTGTTGTCAAATCAAGCAAAATTAATAAATTCTTAATAGTATATTCTTAATTTGTCTTATGATTATACGAGGCCAAAATGGTTATATTAACTCAACAAGGTAATGATATGATGACACGTACGTACATAGCTGTTTTAATGCAGTGCGTTTAAGGAACAAAGGAATGAAGATAGCCATCTACTGAAGCACCACATGTGAAGTCATTAAGTGCACTAATGAGATACTTGATGCAACAAGGTTGTGACTAAAATTGCTCACAATTAGTGAAATGTTAATTAGATCTGTTAATGTATCATCTTAGTCTCTGTGCTGTTTTGTAATTTATTGTATGTTTATTTGGTCAGGGGGTTTAGAGGATACCCACATCTTGTGTTGGGCTCTCAGGCAATGGTGTCCTCTTGGCACCCCTCTGGCCACTCTCTGATTTGTGATTTTTGTGCCAATAAATAAATAAAAAGAAATAAATAAAAATAATAAAAACAAATAAATAAATAAATACAAATAAACAATTACAAATAAATAAATATAAAAAATATAAATAAATATAAATAAATAAATAATATAAATGAATAAATAATAAATAAATAATATAAATGAATAAATAAATAAATAAATAAATAAATAAAAATAAATACATATAAATAAATAGAATTTGTTCAATATCTAAAAGTACAATCATGTATGGTCATAAAGATATTATCTTAATAATAAATGAAATAGACTTGACATGCAATTACAACAACATGTGATGCATTAAACATGATGACAAGGTTAAGAAAAGTAAAAATCTTTGGAAATATCATGAAATTGTCATCAATGCTATTATGAGAAGGCATTTACATTTACTTTCATTTGCATTAGGTAAACAAATCCAATACTTATGTACACTTAATGATCATTACAATTCCGGAAAGAGAAATAAAATTGTAAATTCAGATTGCTATTGTCATTACCACTATGATGTACACATAAATGCACTTAAGTAGAAACAACAGCCAAGAGCTCCTACTAATTCTTTCCAAATAAATCCCCAAAAAATAATTTGTGTATGTATGCTTGTCTGCAATATTATCTCAAAAGATGATGCGTGCGTGTGTAAGAGAATCACCAAAACACGAAGATACCGAGACACAAAAAATTCTACTCACATATGAACAGAGACACTGGAATTCCCAGGGGGAGTTACCAAACCCCGGTTGGCACAGTCCATTATTCTTGCAGACATTATAACCACAACCTGTGCCATCACAGTCGTCAATATTCCTGCCATTTGTAGCATCTAGGAAACAAAGTAATCAAACAATTGTACTTCAATTATGCATTTTCAATGAACAATGAGTCATAGAATCAATTCTTATTACTGTCAATTAGCATATGATTTGCATAATGATTCTGTGTGATTATTGACAATTATTGGCTTGACAACATGCAGTAAATTCTTTCAGTAATTTTATTAAATTTCCAAACAGTGTGTAAAAAAAATCAAATAAGTTAGGACCTAATTATAATTTTATTGTTGTTGGTGGTGTTTTGTATTAATCTTGAATTTGTGTGATATACCAACTGATTTTCCGAAAGCACAAAAATAAAGAATCTTGAACCTAATAGAATGATGATAATTATCATGTACATCTTTTGGTTTGGGTACACTAAATTTCATTAAGACAGAATTTACTTTTAAAACATTCTGACAACTTATGTTTTATTATTCTTGGCATATCTTTATCAAGAAATATATAAAATACAAAAAGCTAACAAAAATACATTAGCAGCAAAAGGTGAAGTACCATACTTTTATTTACAAGTGAACCTAAATATAAAGCTTCAAAAAATTTAAAAAGACAAAAAACATGCACCACACACTTATGTTCCAACTTCAATGGATTTAACTAGTACTGTAAGAGTAGTGGCATTGCAACTCCAGTACTATAAACTCATTTGACCTTCCCCCAGCTACCACCCTCATTTCCTATTGCCTCCATTCCGTCCCATATCAATAATCTTATATCAAGATTGTATAATACACAAGTCATAATATTGTGGTAGGGATAGCAGCCAGGCCCAGTAGCAGCAGTTGCTGGCCATTGCTTTGTCTCTATCTACCTTTATTTGCTTCCAGGGTCCATTTATAAGTCAGTGGTGACATCTTCACTTTCATTGGCACTCAATTTTCCCATTCACAGAATGATCACTAATTTGATATAGTGCCTACAATTTTGTGTGTCTCGTGTGCAAAAGCTCAAAGCTGGGGTGATTTTACTACAGTACACGATGAAATATTTTGTTGCTAGGCCAAGCTATGAATGGACGCACACAGCGAACCTACCAAATTTCGCTCTACAGCGCTGGTAAACACTAATGGAGCCTAGACCATCCTATGCAAAGCCTAGACAAGCATAATGGTAATGAGATAACAAGGTGTTTGACTTAAAAAAGAACAGAAAAAATAAGGCAATTCTGAAATAATTCATAATACATTTTAATCTATTAAACAAATGTCTACCAGGAGATTGGGCGTACTTAATAACCCATAATATACTTCACTAACCACAATCAATTTATTAATTGTCTTTGTATAGTGAAGAGCTGTGTGAGAAAAAAGGTAATGGATGTCACAAATGACTTACAAAGCAACTACAGGTATAATCAAGTAATTTTGTGCACTATAGGGAAAAAAAAGGTGCCAATATTTCCCGGCAAAAATTGTCTGCAGCACTGCAAGCTTCAGGCAATTTTTTCAGGAAATATTGGCTCCTTGGGTTTCTATTTCCTATTGTGTACTTAAAACCTGACTCTAATTGCTTATTACGATTTTGTTGACAATACATATAATTTTATGCGCATACATTGCAGCATGAATGCTCTTGAGAGTGCGAAGTAGGTACCGCATTGTATTTTCTAAACATTTTTCAATATGTATCCAATAAACAAATCAAATTGGAAAAGGGCGCTCTCTCTTGGTGCCACAATTGCTGGGGACCTTCAGTGGTATTTAGAGTAGATTACGATGAAAATTAAAATACTGTACGTCCTATCATTCCAATATTTACATTTGTGGCAGATGATATGCAAGAATCCCCCACCAGAGATCCCCAGCAAAGATCTTCTAAACACAAGAACGTTCTCCGCGATTTCCGCAACGCTTCTATTTGTTACGCGTAAATCGCAGAGAACGCTATGTTGTGTTTAAAGATCTTTGATCTCCAGCTATAGCGTCTGAAGAGGGATAATGATCACAGTGAATGAACCGGTTTGTATATCCCAGGCACTCACTCAGCCCTGGCTGACGAATCTAACTCAGCCCCCTGTGCACCCTGTGAGTGCTAGTCAATGCAGCGACGCTGATTCTTGGGGGGAGTATGGATGGATCCTCATTCACAGAACAACTATATATCTCGTAAAAATATAACAATGCTAGGTTCTCCAAACTTGAAGGGCCATAAACGGTGGTCAACCATGAGAATTATAAACTTTACACAAGATTGTATGTCTGGAAAGAGCTATGTGTAGTGGACTTGAATGCCTGGTAGTGGTACAGGCATTTATAATGCATCTTTTGCTTGAGGTTATAAAGCTCACGCCAAGTTTCTTTGCTCAGGGAAAAACTTTAGGCAGCGTAATGCAGCATTAAATGCCCATGGAAATCACGAAGCACCCCAACTATATTGTCCAAACAATTAACAAGGAAAGCACAACACAGACAACAGACACACAGTCAATAAAAACGAGTACTAGGCTAACAAGCTGATGTTGAGTGCACGTTTTAAGACATTATGGTTCTGAAATGTCCCCAAGTTCATTTGAGAGATTATTCCAGAGTCTAGCAGCATGACAAGGAAAAGAAAAACTTCTGATTATTATGATGTGCAACAGTTAACTGTACAGAAGAAGCAAATCTTGTGGAATGTGGGGCTTTCATAAGGCACCATCAACTCTAAGCATATTGAAAAGTCTGCTCTTCTCCATCTAAGGTAAGTATATTGTAGAAGAAAGTTAAAAAGCAAGGTATGTACAGTATAACCCACCTGATTGTGACAACACCAACATTAAACCGTTCACAATGACCTGTCGTATACAACCTGTGAACCCAGTTGCACTGTTTTCAACCGCTAACCTTTTGACATCACTTAACTGAGGTGCACCGCCAACATAGAAATCAGTTGCAAGGTCCAAACCAACAAGGGCAGTAGAAGCTCGGACACGAAGCTCCTGGTTCTTGAATATCAAGAAGCCATTTTGATCCGTGCGTCCAGCTTGCACGCTGTACCACTGGTTGTCATTTACGTCGACCTGTTGTTGACTTCTTAGTATTGCAGGAACACCAACACCATCTAAGTAGTAAACATGTAGTGTAAAGAGAAAAAAGTAAGTTATTATGTAATTTAGAAACCATTTTTTAATCTTTTATTCAGCTTTTTATTCAGCTTTAGGTGCTTGGGCCAAGGGTATGTCAAACAGTGAACTTATAATCACTCTTATTTATTACATAGATGTGTTAGAATTTAAATATGTAACAGTGATAAATAATAACTGTCTTCTCATTACTGTTGATTAATATATTATCATCTCATTATTCCTTTAACGAAATTGTTACAAAATTTTAGGCAGTTGTTAAACAATGGTCCACGATCAGTTTAACAGAGGATCCCTATTGGGGTGTATATGCTCTGTGTATATGATCATAGTGCATGTTAATTAATCTAATACTGTACATATAAACCTTATTGATTAATAGCACCATCATATAGTAATTAGCATGAAAGTTCAAAGATAAATAAAACTTCCTTGTATACTAAAAGTAAAGACTTAATTGTTTGGTCACTATTGTGTTGGTGAGGTAAATTGAGAAATGCATGTATATGTAATCGGAAGTAGCTGTGATTAGTTGTTTAATAATAACTGACAACAAAAAATAACAGATAACAGAAATGGATTGGACATACACTCAGAGGAGATGGTCTTCTGAAAGATATAATTGAACGAAGAATAGAAGGAAAGTGACCTCGAGAAGGAAGAAAGAAAATAATGTTGTTAGATGACCTGAAGGAAACAAATGAAAGCTAGGCCATCATGAGACGGAAATCATATTAAAGAGACAATTGGAGGAATTAACTGCAGTGAGCCTGCCAGTAGGCAGACAACAAATGATGATGATGATGATGATGATGATGATGATGATCATGATGAATAACAGACAAACAATAGAAAAGCAGCACCCTGGACTAAGTTAATAAATGAAACATATTTCACTAGCTTCATCAGGTGAGTGAACGGAACATAGAATGTATTTTGAATAAATTTGGTCAACCATTTTAAAACAAGTGGAGGATTACTTTATGCTTCAATTACCTTTGAAGCAATGTGAAACATGTTAAAGAAGCTGTCACATCATTAATGCAGTGGGAGAAACAGGAATTCGAAATAGAGGAGACCTAGGGAGGGAGCAGGGAATAATCACCTAAACGCAGGAGACATGCAAACTGGTTACTTACCAAGAACATATCTGAATTCAACGTATCCATTAGACAATGAGATTGATATAAAATCTCCTGACTGACTTGTGTCGTGCTGAGCTGCATAGAACAGAAGGCCATTATCATCTTCTGGTTTGAACTGGATTGTGATGTTTGTAACTCGACTGATATCAACAGTGTGAGAAAATGCCATGAAGGAGTTGGACTGGAATTTTGCATCACTGATGGTAAGATCTAAAAAACAAGAGCACTATGAACTTCAATAGGCGCATAAATAATATTGCTGGAACATTGAGCGTAATGATGTCATCTTAAATTAACTGCGCATATCTGAACATTGTCCTAAAAATGGTTTGTGGTCGATTCTACATTCAGGCCAAAATGATGACTGTACTGTATTAAACATTGGTGCGTCAGTCTTTGCGTTTGTGACATCTCCGTACGCGTAGTAAAACATTGATTTACAGTAGAACGTAGAACACATGCGACGACAGTCACGGATGAGTATATTCATTCTACGTTCTAGTTATACGCCCTCAACTGAAAGCTACCTATTCTTTACATAGACCCTCAAATTGTCTGGATGTGAATTTAAGGATTTTTATAGTAAAAGTCTTTGAATCATCAAAAAATTAAATGTTTCTATCTGTATCTCAACTTCCTATTTTAAGTGCCCCCCCCCCCACACCACTTAAGTTTAACAACAGAGAACGTATCTGTAACTTAAAGGATGTGAACATAAATTTATCATCAGAAACAAATAGAGTGTATTGGCATTTGGGGAAAAAAATTGGTCTGGTGCCAACACATTTCTTTCTCTATGCTGGTACTAAGCTAACTACACAGCAAAAACATTTGAAATAAAACAGATAATAATGTATATCATGACTAGGAGCAATAATAAGCACACGAAGGTTGCTACAAGATAAGGTGTGCCATCCCAAAACCAGCGTACTGTCGCTAAATGTTAAACTGAGTAATTAGTCACAAGAATGTGGAAGCATTGTATACTTTAGTACACAGAACTACTCATAACTTTGGCAATAGTAAGTCGATTCCAGTAAATAACTTATCATTTCAAAGCTTATAATGTGGAAAATATGAATATCTAAAAGTCATTTTCTTGCTTTGGTCACTAAAGCTCGTTCTGGCATGGTAAGCTCCATATACCATCATTATTATAACATACCTTGGTCGCAGAGTACACCAAATTTTCCAAGGTGACAGTTACATGTGTATCCAGTGTCCGACAGCGTACAATCAGATTCTGATGCACACATAGGAGGTGGGTCATGTTGAAGGTCACACGCATTGACCTGATCAGCACAATATTGACCTTTCCAACCATCAGTACAATTACACCTGAAGAGCAGAGCGAAATATTATTATAGTTAAGTATAATTATAATATATTATTAAATGTATTTTTCTTATATAATTCCAATAAATATTTCGAAATATAAATAGTATAATATTCAATATAACTATAAATGTTAAAAAATATATATTATTAAATTTATTTTTCATATATTATTCCAATAAATGTTTTTTTTAAAATTAAATATGAATATTATTATAGTTTTAATATAACTTTAAATGTTTAAAACATTATGTTATTAAATTGACTTTTCATATATAATTCCAATAAATATTTTTTGACTCACTGGAAGGTAGCACCAAGATCTATGCATGTTCCACCATTCTGGCAGTTAACCAGGTTACACTCGGACAGCCCACACTCGCCAACGTTCAAGCCAGCATCTACATGCCCAGTAGGACTACCAGGGGCAACGAACGTACCATACGTTCCTGACCTAATTTCCACATCGTAAAGACAACCTGCAATCGAATAGTTCATAGAATATTCACAAATTATCATAAACAGTACAAAAATATTCAGATTAAATAAATTTACAAGTTACTATTATATACAAGGAACATTATAAATTTAATAAAATTTCATTCAAGAGCAGGTTCAGTATGTAAAATCATCGATTGGTTGCATAATTTAAAAAAATTTAAAATCAGAAAAAAACAAAATCATACATTAAATTTGATATTGAATAACAGCACTTATCAGTGGTAATCAAAATGCTATTAGGCCTATCTTAAAAAATGGCATTGTCCAATCTGAACAAATAAAAAATATAACAATTTTTTAAAAATTAATTAACACACCTCTAAAACCATCTTGAAAGTTTACTGGTAGTAACTGGAGATCATAAACATCATAACCACCAACAAACAAATCTTTGAAAGAGTTGAGGCCAATAAGAGGTCCAAGCGTACTCCCTGTCACGTTAACTTGATCATCCACCTAGAAATAGTTATACATAGATATTTCAGTGAAGAAAACCAATAAATCGACCACTGATATCAAGAAAATCAGCTAACAAACAAATGTAGTTTAATTATATTAATGGTACTAGAATCTAATTTAAATCTATGGTATAATAAAGCGAGTTTGAGGAAAGTAAGTCTGACATTGTAGAATGGATGGATATCAAGGCCTCTTTCTAACTTCATATTATAACCAAAGACATAATTACAAATGCTCATGCAAAATATACTCAGTTCCCTAAGGGTACATTCCATAAATGTTGTAGCCTATAATGAGTGCATTTACATTCAAACCTTCTAGGCATTCTTGGAGAGACCACATGGATTGAATGTACTGCTGAAGGACAAACACAAATTTGAAGAAAATGTGTAGGGTTTGAACTTCTAACCTCATGTTTGAGGCCCCAAGTCAAATCCTCTGCACCTACACATTAACATAATATAAAGTGTATTAAATATATTTACAGCATAAATGCACTAAATTCTTGTGGTGGTAAATGTTCGTTTAAGTGGGTAAAAAAACAAATTCACTCCCTAAAGCCACATAATAAATTGACTGAACTTCTATCCAATATTTGGCAATTGTAGCTGCTGTTGGATATTAAAAAAATAACATTTCTGGTCCTCTTTCTGCACCTAAGGCATAGTTTTGGATTCTTAATCCATTGCAATAGCATTATTAAGATATCTCATTGGTAGGCAAGGCTTTCTCATAAGGCCAAAAAAAATACATTGTTTGTTTGCCCATATTTGCCCTTCTTTTTTTAAAAATGATAAATAGGGGTGGGTGGAAAAATTTTTTTTATAAAATTTATATATTTTTTTTAAATACTCATCAGATGGAATAAAAATAACCCACGGGGGCCTAGAATGGCAATATCTTACATCAGACAACAACTTCAGACTAATTTGTAGGGCATCTGGCAAAAAATAAAGATAAATTCACTCACATTTTTTTTAAATTTTTAAAGAAAAAAGCTAAAAATAAAACTTTTTTGAAGTTTCCTTTGTTTTTCCTCCCCTATTTTTTCAGTGAGTTAGGGGCGGGTGGAGGAGGGCAAACAAACATTTTTTTTGGCCTAATAAGATAAATTATTAATACCAAATTGTATTGACATAATCTCAATGATATTGATCTCATTGACAGAATATCTCAATGATGTAGGGACTATAGAACAATAGAGAGCTTTTGTTATATCGTTCAAGAACCAATCCGCAGAGAAAATTTCTCATTCCCGTTTACGTACTCGTACAAAAAATAGTGAGCTTTCGCTATCCCATACCGCAGATAACCAAACTCTTGGTTGTAGTATAGCCTGTTTCTACGGCCGAGGAATGCGCTTGGGCAGTGGGGGCATGACGGCTGATGTAATGGTACGGTATGGTTAAGGCCTAGCCTAGAATGAAATACATTGATTTGCTCAATGTTATAATCATTAAATATAGAATATAATTCTATTGAAATGTTGCAGATACATTCAATTTCTGATTCTAGATCCATCGCGCAGGATCCAGCAGCTGAATCACGGGTAATGTGTATGTGCTAAACTAAATTACGCCTAGACTGGTGACGTCATACACAAAAATATGCACTTTTCTTGGCGGATTGGTTCTTGAACGAGATAACGAAAGCTCTCTAATGGCAAAGGTTGATGTTACCTTGAGCCAACCCTGTTTCTGAAATCGTCCGATTCGCACGTGATGAGAACCACTTGAACTACTAATACGTGATGGACTCCTCAGTACTGCTGCTCCTGCAATGAGATAAAAAAATGATCATATTAACGCAAACACTTAAATATATTTTTCTGTTGAAAAGTCTGTGAAAAACCCTAATACCCTATTCAGACCACACTCTGTTGCGATCGGTTGCGATGTAATCGGTGGTAATCCAAAACTGATTACTCCCGATCACAATCAACGAACGCATTCAGACCAACACAAACAAACTTTACATTCTAGGACCAGGCCTCCGGTGGCTAGGCCTAAGTTGACTGACCTCAGCCAAACAGTGCCTGTGGAATTCGTTGTGATTCGTTGCAATCAGATTCCGTGGTAATCGGGAGTAATAAATATTGTAGTACCCAATCGCAACGGGTAACAATTGCGATATCGATTACATATCGACTACTATTGGTGAGCTTTCACACACGATTTTACTTTGTAATTGGGTGCGATTGGGTGCCGAAATTGCTACAACCGATCGCAATGCGATGCTAGTCTGAATGGGGTATTAATCACTTACAACCTGAATTGCTCAATCAATTGTAATTTAGCATGAATCTGAGGTACTTACCAGAGCCGAGATCAAACCTAAAGGTGACATATCCATCTTCCAGACCTAAGGCCAAGTAATCACTCCCATTTCTTCCCTCACCTTTACCAAACACACAAAAAAACAAAAACAACACTTTCAATTTCTTATAATCACGTCAGTCTCCCTGAAGAAGTAACTGAAATAGTAATGAAAGCTACAAAGTAAGTCAGCTTCATTCAAATTCCAATAACTGTACAGTACAACCAAATTTGAAATTATGATTATTGGAATAGTAAAGGAAAAAATTGACATCAACATTTAAGCATTGTTTCTCTAATTTTATTATAAAAAATCAAGATTCTTTATTTGTCCTGGAAATATTGTATAAAATGTAATACTAATTAATTCACCAACCATTTGGTATATTAAATACATAAAACTATTGTATGCCTATATATGGTCATGATGTGATGTCATCATCCTGACCATATTTAGGCATATCACATGTTTTGGTGAAATAAAATTTGATAGTGTGAACAGGCCTTTAGATATATATTTGTTACTGTTAGTGTAAAAGTGCAATGTGTGCTCACCTTTCTGTCCAGAAAACAACATCAGTGAACTCTGCAAGGCCTGGGAATCTGCTGGGACAAAATTGAGCTTGATCTCCAGTAGGAAATTCCAGTTTAAGACTCTAGCATATTGTGTGTAGGATGAGTAGCCGTATGAAAGTCCAGAATAGCTTGGCCTTGAAATTGATAATGCTGTAGAACAGAGGAATAAACAATTTGTATATTGAAGGATCAATAGCTGCCATTATCACTGAATATCGTAAAACCTCAAATAGAAGCCCATAGTGGGCTTAATCTCGAGAAGCCCATCTCGAATTGAAGCCAGCGCCCTCCCCCAATTTAGCTTGCAAAAGTAGCCTCAAAAAGAAGCCCATCTCGACAGTACAGTAGTTTAAGTGATTTAATGTTAGTTAATACACTCCATGACACAGACTGATGTTACAGTGGCCCTACTAATTTTTTTATAGTAGTAATTCCCAAACATTACAGCATTCATTTTGAAAAGAGGCCCCCCACCCCCTCTTTACTATGCAAAAGTAACCTAAAAAAAAGCCTATCTCGAAAAGAAGCCCATCTTGAAAAGAAGCCCATCCAAAGTTTGCCAAGAAAAACAAGCTCAAGGTTTCAATTCGAGGTTTTACGGTATCTAACTACCATACATATGTATTATTTTAATGAGAGTGGTCAATTGATTTAAAACTGATCATAATTAGCAACAATAACAAACTCAACTTTAAAGCATTCCATTGTAAAGTTTTCTTGTAACAACAGTTAAATAATAAATAATAATAAAGATAAATTCTGTGGTGTCCAGTGAGGGAATAAAATGAAAATCTATTGACATGATGCCTCTTTGGAGACTTAGTCAATTACCGATCCAGAGCATTTGAAAGATGATGAGCTATTGTATTGTAACAGATGTAAGGAAAGCAGCAATGGATCAGAAAGGATCCCCATGATTCGTCAGTTTGGTGGTTAAGATGCTTGCTTTCCAATCCCAGGGTCCTGGGTTCAATTTTTGTCAAGGAACAGGATTTTCTCTCATGACCAGAAAACTCAACTTCCTAATCCTCATAAAGACACTTTATTTTAGAGCCTCTAGTGTACATTTTGCCAAGCGACTGCAAATACAAATTATTAACACTTGCACAGCCTTGGCACTTGTGCCTACAAAAACTATAATAAAACTAAAATAAATGCTCAAAATCCAATTCTGTTTATGAAGCTCAGGGAGGTAGTAATTACTGTCCAGACTATCAAATTTTATTTGACAAAAACATGTGACATGCCTAAATATGGTCATGATGACATCACATCATGACCATATATAAGCCTTGGTTCTTCATAGGTGGCCTGCGGGCCAAATTTGACCCACAAAGCAAATTATTCTGGCCCGCGAGAACAAATTTAATTATAAAAAAATATATTTAAAAAAACTAGAATTAATAAATATTCGATGAATATTTTTCCAATAATGTGAAGGCTGTAGAAACACAAAAATGGGGCAATGTAAAGTAGGGGTGACTTCCACCTAGATCTAGAATTAAATCTGTTACCAACCAATCGACAAACGCCAAAAGATTGGCAGTCTTAGTTCAGCTAAATATGACATAGCAAATTAAAAATGAAAACTTTATCAGAGATTTGTTTTCATTATGAGTACACCCAAGATTTTACAGGCTAAATGTTTTTTAGGCTTTAAAGCCTCTGGTATTTGGTTGATATAGGATAGGTGAAATCACACAGGAAATACCAATTGTCTGCCAAACTATTAAGTTGAACAAACTATGTATGGCTGATAAAAAAAGAAAATACTGTTTTTGTCACGATTATGCCTGTAACTTCATGTTTGGTTTGAAAATACTCCTACAGGATTAATATTACCGGGGAGTTGTTGTTGTATGGTTGACATCCAAGCAGGTATCAATATTTGCAAGAAGCAAGGTCAATACGATAGGAAAAAAAACCTATTTCTACTCTGATAGGGGAAAGGAAGCCGAATTCAGGAAATGATACTTCACCCAGTTACACTTGCACAAGGAAAGGAAGTTCTATTACCAGTCACTGACAACATTAAACGTCCAGCGACCCTGAAAAATATTTTTGGAATGAAGTTATGCTTTATTTTTTCATTTCAAATCTGTTTAAGCCTGCTTATTATTAGGCCTATGCAACAATTTGAGAACTGCTTTGAATGCTGCACTTTAACACCTATCTTGCTAAGTATTTAAAACTGTCAGTTAAGAACAAACTCGATTTTCGCGAGAAAGTAGTAGTGCCAGTTGCAGAGGCAGATTCAAGTCAGAGAGAGCTCTCTCAAAGAAGAACTCAACATTTGTTAGGGAAAAAAAATCATATGAAACTTTTACAGTGATATGAGCATTCTAATTCATCATTTTGCAAAATATAATATCAATCTTATAGTGCAAAAAATTGTAATGAATTTAGTGTCCAAATATTGTGCTGTAGTACAATTAAAAATAGAATAGAATTTGAAAACTTCAAAAATCTGTGCGGCCAACAGGGGCAATAGGCCACAGCATCTCAGAATTTTACCTCAGGTCCATAAATTATAGCAAGATACAGTACTTGAAAAGATAGTATAATGCATACTCCAAGTATCGAAATGCACGCCATCATGTCGGGATTCAATATTTTAACATTAATTATATCATCATCAGGAATGAAAGTACTTGAAACTCGGGGAGATTTTCTTTGGCCCGTGACATCAAACCTAAAAATAATTTGGCCCTTCAAATGAATTAATTAAGAACCAGGGATATCATCACATCATGACTATATATGGGCATACAAGAGTTATTTGTCAAAAAAAAATTTGAAAATCTAGACAGAGCTTCAGTAAGGATCTTTACCATTTTCACAAAGTACACCTTGTCTGCCATACGGACAGAGACATACAAAACTTGCTTGTTCCCATCTAGAAACGCAGCTGGCGCCATACTGACACGGGCTGCCATTGCAGTAATCTATTCGCTGTTCGCAGAAATCACCGACATACTTTTCGGGACAGAGGCAAAACCAGTCAACTGAATTCTCGGGTCTGAAAATAGTTTTGATATCTAAAGATTAACACATATTGCAGGCCTAATATAATTTGAATTTGTTATAAATACATCAATCAAGCAATCTCAAAATTGATTTCCATCAAAATAAAAAAATAAAAAAACCAGATACAATACATATGTAGTTGTTGATAATCTGTACATAATGCACATTATATTCTAATGGTCATTACATATTGACCACCAAAACATGATTATCAGTACTGAGGAATTCTGACCATCAGAATACAATCAGTACATTCTTTAAATTCCCCATCAGAACACAATGATTAGTAAATTAAACCATGATTAGTACTTTCTGATAAATCATGATCATCAGAACATGAAAATCAGTATTCTGAGAAATTCCGATCTTCAGAATACGATCAGTACATTCTGATGAATTCCTGACCATCAGAACACAATGAATAGTAAATTCAACCATGATTAGTACGTTCTGATAAATCTTGACCATCAGAACATCAAATCAGTCATTTCTGATCAATTCTGAATGCAATGATGATCAGATTGTACCGCATGATAATACTATGCAGAAGAAAAAAATTATTAATTTCACAAGGTGCTACTTACATCATGCAAGTGCCACCGTTCTCACATGGTGCATACAAACAAGGGGCTACTTCGCATTCACCAACATTCTGCCCAGTGAGTGCATCTCCAAACACTGAATACTCAATGTCATTTATTTGAAGATGACGTATACACCCATTAAAATCAACCACTGGGCTTAAAGGCAATGCAGATTCTATAGCTGATGGTAAACCTCCAAGGTACAATGATCCCAAGTTGACTGCATGAAAGAATGTGTACACTGAATTTGTGATTGGTACTTGGTTGTCTATAGTAACAGCTGCTGAACAGATGCCTCCGAAGAATCCGATTGGTCGATTTAAACTAGTGGAAAAACAAAAGAATGGTACAAATTTGCTGCCCTTTTAATAATGTATGAGACAAAATGATATTGTTGGGGGGACAGGAGGAACCCTGTGTCAATTTTTTACCACCAGAAGTAATGATAGTAAGCAAATAATTTGTTATTTGTATAGTAGTGGAACATATGGCTAATATATCATGCAAGTTTATTAATGACCAATTTATTTGCTGTCAAACAGGTCAAATGGTTCAATCTTCCTCAAGCCCGAGGAAGTTTGAACCACCTACCAGAGTACAGTACATTGAACCACAATAGTAAAAACCATGAGGATTTCATATTTTTAATTATGCATTATTTATTACTTACTACAACATTTTTAAATGATGAATATAAATGGATAAACTAAACTAAATATTTACCTGATTAAAACCTGCACCAGTTCATTAGTATCAACAGATTGAGATGGCTCAACTTTCAGCAACATCCCTGGTCCACAAGTAAATTCATAAACCAGTCTACCACTCTCTATGTAAAGATGCATGAAATCACTAGTGGAGCTGGAAGGGTCAGATACGGCAAAAAACACAGTTCCACTCAAGGATGATGTTTTGAATGATACAAAGATCTCATTGGTCACTGACGTAGACAAGTCGAACTGGGCATGCTCAAGGTAACCATCACCATTGAATGATGGGAAATAAATATTCAATTCTGAAACAGATGAATTTGAATACACATATTGGTAATCTTTATAAAAGATTAAAAACAGAAAATTTTTAACAGCAATGCAACACTTTTAAACACGAACAGTATGTAATATATTTAGCAAATTCAAACAAACCAAAAATGCAATCAATTGATCATTTGTTAGGGCTACGTACAGACCTTAGAGATACGCCTCGCGTAACTAACGCCAGGTGTATGTCAACATTACTTGTGCTTCATTTAAAATGTGTAATCATGCACCTAATTTCCTGTTTATGTCTAGCTTTATTTTGATTGTCAAATCCTGACCAGGGTTCAATAACATTGATGCATGACTGTCATAACTCCGTGGTGTACATTAATCTAGGGGGTGTTGGTGGATTATCATATGCCAATGATTGCGTGTTAATACTGGCGTTCGCTATGTCACCCACAAGTTCATACGACTCGATTAACGTTACACAAATGTAACTTGTGGTTTCTCAGTCACATAAGAATTTTCCATGACAGCTTAATGCACTGTACAGAATATAGTAGTCCTAATATACTTTTATTATTACACAAATATTTGCATGCAAAGGCATGAAACAGTACAAATACATTTAAAATTAGCTTACCAATCTCACAGAATTGTCCAGTAAATCTAAAAGTGCATTGGCACTGGAATCCGGTGATGATTTCATCTGAAGTCAGATCTTCGCATGTTGCTTCATTCAAACATGTGATATCAGAACAACTCAAAATTGGTGTTGGAGATGAAGGTTTAATTGTGGTTGGAGCTGAGCTTGGCAGTAAAGTTGTCTCTTGCTCAGTTGTTGTCATCTTAGATGATGTTACCTCTGGTGTGGTTGCAAGTGGATGTTCAGTTGTCTCCGAAGAAGTGATATCAGGTGTGGTTGCAAGAGCTTGTTCAGTTGTCCCTACCGATGATGTCAGTCCTGGTGAAGTTGTAAGAGCTGATGAAGTTGTCATAGGAGATGGAGTGTCTTCTGGTGTGGTTACTATAACTGGTGAAGTTGTCCCTGAAGATGTTGTTGGTTCTGGTGAAGATGTAAGAGCTGGTTCAGTTGTCAATAAAGAAGTGGTTTCTGGTGTGGTTACTGGAGCTGGTGAAGTTGTCCCAGAAGATGATGTTGGTTCTGGTGAAGATGTAAGAGCTGGTTCAGTTGTCAATAAAGAAGTGGTTTCTGGTGTGGTTACTGGAGCTGGTTCAGTTGTCCCTGAAGATGATGTTTTAACTTGAGAAGTGGTCTCTGGTGTAGTTGTAAGAGCTGGTTCAGTTCTAACTTCAGAAGTGGCTTCAGGTGTAGTTTGAAAATCTGGTTCGGTAGCTTCTGATGTTTGATCTGGTGTGGGTGTAACAGCTGGGTCAGTAGTAAATGGAGGAGGTGCCTCTGAGGTGAGAGCTGAATCAGTTGTTGTTTCAGATACTGGTACAGTCGCTTGTTCAGTGGTTGGTTCTGGTGTAGTTGTACTTGATGGTGGAGTTATTGTTAAAGATGCAGTTGGCACTGGTGAAGTCATTATAGTTGGTTCCATTGATGATGACATGACAGTGGGTTGTGATGGTGTTGGCATTATTGAAAATGATACTGATGAAGATGAAACTGATGATGTTGATAACAAGACTGAAAAGTCTGTTGACATGGTAAGAGACATAGAGTGTGACAGAGATGTATCAAAAATAGATGAAGATGGAAACAATGTTTGCGAAATCTTGAATTCTTCAGTTGAAGAGGTGAGCATGAAAGAGGGTGTCGGCTGGATACTTATATCAGATGACTGCAGCATGCTGGTTTCAAGAATCACTAAAAAGTATTAAATAAAATAATTTGTCAGATTAAATGAGTATTTATTAGGCTACATATAAAATGTTATTGTTAAATCAAGAGGAATCTACGAGATTAAAATGTTGCTCCAGTGGGGACTAGAGGCCAAGCTTTATGCTATACTATCTAAATGCTCTAACCAATTGGGCCACCAATAGGAAACAACTGATTTATACTCTTTTCTATGCATTGAAGAGCAGTAGCTCTAGACACTATGTATAACATAGAACAACAGGATACACTCTCATTTCTGAAGAGATAATTTATAGTAAATCACAAAGAGAAAAACTCTTACAATAATGCTTTACTGTATTTAAATGGTTTCACTGCACTATTAGATTTCCACATCTTTGCCATTTACAATTTATATATTTATTTTAGTATTCCACCATCATCTTTTATTTCCTTCTAACCACAAGCCAGATATTATGCATTAAATTAATATAACATAACAGAAGAATCCGACAAATATCTTATTAATATCTTATAAATCAACCCCAATGGGACTCAAACCAAGGACTTTATGACAAATGCTTTGTGATAAATATAAATAATGTATCGGTAACGATTGATAAGTTTCCATTATTTTTATACATACATAATTATATACCACTACCACAAATCAATGTATATATTAGAAGACTCCCACCACAAAAGTTCTGAATGATACAGTAGATATTTGTGTAGAATATCCAAGGTTCCCAAACCACAATTACCAACAGTAGAAAAAAAACCCATAATTCAAAATAGGTATACCTTAATTGATAGCTAGCTAAAAATGATAATGTGTATAAAGTCATAAAGTACAGTAGCAGTACAATACACAAAAAAACATGACTGTGTATTTTGTATTGAGTACATATAGTAAATAATAGCAATACTACACATGCATTGTTTGTTTACTAGTTTAGTATAATTATTTGTCATGAATACTCATATAACATTGTTTACAAAGAGGATAACAGATAACATTATCATAAATATTCAAATCAGTAAACTAAACAAGCGTTAGTGAATGCCTACCTTTGCTGCTGACTACAGGTGTTTCTGTCATGCCAACTACAAACGTGCTCTGAGAAGAAGTAAGACTTGAGAATTGTGTCATTATATTTGTTATCCCCTGGGGTGAAATAGAGGGATTGATTAGACTTGTGTCTTTGGGTATGTCTATGCTTGTTGCTTCATATGGCAAGATGGTTGTTGTACTTATATTAACATATTCAGTTTTTAAGGATGGTGTCATTGTCTTTGTTAAAATTTGTAGAGAATATGTAGATGTCAATAATGAGGAACTCAGTTTAGATGTTTTGATACTTGGAATCTCACTTGTTGGAGTTGGTGTGATTGTCTGCAGTCCATCTGTTGCAGATTTTGTCATCGCAATACCTGACAATACCAATGTGGTAAGTCCAGTGTCTGTGGCAGATATAGTCCTTTGAGTTGGGTTAATTGTTGCCAATTTAAAAGACAAAAGCTCTGAAAAATCTGATATCTCAATCAAATCAGATGAGTCAAATGTTGATGAAAATTCTGTCATTTGTGATATTTCAGATGTTTCTATATTTGGAAACTCACTTGTTGGAGTAGGTGCAATTGTCTGCAATCTTTCTGTTGCAGATGTTGTCATTGCATTGTCTGACTCTACCAATGAGGTAAGTCCAGTGTCTGTGGCAGATAGAGTGCTCTGAGTTGGGTAAATTGTTGGCAATTTAACAGACAATATATCTGATAAAACTGAGCTCTCAATCAAATATGATGAGTCAAATGTTGATGAATATTCTGTCATTTGTGATATTTCAGATGCTAGTGATGAAAAAAATATTTCTTGTGATTGCATTTCGGATACAGGTAACATTAATGATGTGAATGGCAATGACACTGAAGCAAAGTTGGTGGTGAGAGGTGAACTGATCACATCCAGTGTCTGTGCAGATGTAACTGATGGTTCCTCTGACAGATATGATAGGCTCATTGACAGAGACAAGCTTTGTGTGGGTTCTGTGAATATTGCTGATGACACAACAGGTGCAAATGACAAAGTCTTTGTAATATTTGCTGCTGCAGAAGACATTTCCATAACTTGTGAAGTCTGCACTGAATGTGATGGCTGAAAAGCTGAGGAAATATCATGCAGGTTGGACATCAGTGTTAATGATGAACTCAATATACTGTTCATTGATATGACAGGTGGGTGTGACATTGAAGGTTCAAGACTTAAAGTTGATGTTAAAGATGGTATAGACGATAGCAACCTACTCTCTTCACCAAATGCCTCTGAAGAATATGAAGTCATCTCAAATGTGTCTGTCAAGAAGACACTGGTTGCATCTATTAAGGTCTGAATTACACTCTGAAATACTGATGACGATGACATGGACACAAATGAGCTGAAGTCCAATTCTGAAGAAGCTGATACTGATGAGGAATATTCTTGAAAGTTAGTTGAACTAGACATCTGGATGCCAGATACCAATGTGCTTGTTACAGCAACATACTGTGATGTCAGCGCAGTTGTTGAAGACACACTTTGGATGTCAGTTGCAACACTACTACTTAAGAAAGCTGCAGAAGTAAAAGTCTGCATAGCAGTGGACATTCCAGACTTTAATGGCAATGTGGACATTCTTTGTTCTTGTGAAGATGACAGGACATCAATGAAAGAGGTAAATGTTGGTGTCATGATAGCTGCCATAGCTGTGTCTGATAAAGTAGTTAGGAATGGGGATGGAATATTTGAAAATATTATTGATGATGATGATGTAGGTGATGACGATGCCAATGACAATATAGACAATGGCAATGATGGTAACAGTAATGATGATTGTTCGGTTGCCAATGCTGAGGACAAAAATGAATGTGTTTGATAAACTGATGGTGAAACTGTAAGTGTTGAAAACACCATTGAGTATGAAGTGAGATCAGAAGATATAAGTTCACTCATGCTACTAAATGTTGACATCTCTGAAGAAATAGAAACCAAATTATCGGAGGAAGAAATGAAGGAAAAGTGATGCGAGGTAGAAGAAGAAACCAACTGATGTGACCCATAGATAGAGGATGTTAACATGCTTATCACCGAAGGTACAAAAGCAGATGAGATAAGACTGATTGTTGGAATACCTGGTGTTGAAAGTACCACTTGGTCTGATGAAGATATAACCATTTTTGTGGTTGTTAGCACCGGTGTTATTGATGATGAGGAAAGTAGTAGGAATTCACAGTGGTCACCATCAAAACCATTCTGGCAAACACAATTATAGCTGATTCCAGATGGCATGGCGATTCCAATACATGTTCCGCCATTCAAGCAAGGAAAGCTCAAGCATGGATCCTCATCCTCACAGATTTCTCCGATGAAGCCAGCTGGACAAATGCACTGAAATCCCCCACGTGGCAGCTCCTGGCACAGTCCATTATTCAAGCAGGGGTTGTTAGCACATTCGTTAAAGTCGACCTCACAATGAGTGCCATTAAAGCCCGTAGTGCAGTTACAGCTATAACTGTTGACAAGGTCAACACACTTTGCATTATTCTGACATGGGGATGATTGACACTCATCAATGTTCATCTCACAATGTGTGCCTTGGTAACCAGGAAAACAGAAACAGGTGTACCCTTCACCTGGATCGTTTTGGAAACAGATTGCACCATTCAAACACGGGGTAGATTGACACTCATCTACATCGTCACCACATGAATCTCCTGTCCAAGCTGTTGGATAAAAGAAGTATTCAACTGCTTCAGTTATTAGTTCTTTTTAAAGTTTAATTCATACAATAATTAAATCTGCATACATCTCAACCTGTGTTAAAACATATTGAGCAAGGTTCTTCCCTATCATTGAGTGTAGTACTTTTAATATCATAAAGAAGATACAAAATGACAAGGTATAATTTTGGTTGTTCCCTTTACCTTGTGTACAGGAGCAGTTGAAATGGTTGACTCCATCTTGACATAACCCTCCATTTTGGCAAGGATTACTGACACACTCATCACTATCAATTTCACATAGCTCACCCTCATAACCAGGTACACAACTAAAAGAAAACCAATTTATGTTTTGTAGTGACAAGTAATATAATGGATGTCTGCATCTGCAGAAATACTGTCCAACTCTCCAGGTGGAACAAAACGGACAGGAATGCTGTGCATATGTAATTCTTATTCAAACTGCTTGGGATGGTTTACTGCATCCAGGCATGCAAAAATGACAACAATATGGTTTAAATTGAATAAATGAGTTTCAAATGACGTTTGGCAATTCTTACAGAAGACTTGTAAATAGAATAGGTCAAACTGTTCAGCTTAGAAGCAGCAATTAATAAACTTTACATCTATGTCCATACTATCAAATTTTCTTTGACAAAAAAAACTACTGTATGTAAACATATAGTCATGATGTTCCTATATATGTTACATCACCATGACCATATTTAGGCATATTAGATGTTTTGTCAAACAAAATTTAATAATTTTAATTTAATTTAATGCACAATCCAATGCATTCAAGCAGTCAATTACAAACAGCTCTGCAAGTGTGGTCTACTAACCTGCATGTGTAAGCCAAGCCTGGACCATCAATGCATGTTGCAAGATTTTGACATTGAGATGTGTTTCGATAGCTACAGGCATCTATATCCATCTCACAATTTGCACCTGGTGAAAATGAAATCAAATACTATAATATTATATATGAACACATTTAGGATAAATGCAGAGCCGATGGAGAAGTAATACCATATGATTACTAAGATAAAGCAAGTCTATAGACTAATTCCCTAAATAATTATCATTGAATTTAGGATTTCTTTTCCAGTTGTTTACCTTCGTAATGGGCAGAGTGTGTGTAGAGTCAACAATGTTTTGAAGATCTGCTTACATTTTTCATTCATTTAGGAAACACACACCAAATTTTTCTTTCTTTATTATTCTGATAATAACGTCCTACATAGCACAACTGAGAGGACATTAGAAATCGGTGAGTAACTTAAAAATTTCAAGGAAGAAGAAAAATATGATGCCAAAAGCACCAACCTATATATCCCTCTAGACAAAGGCACTGATACGAGTTGATGCGGTCGATACAGGTTGCACCATTCAAACACGGAAGTGTGCTACATTCATCAATATCTTCAGTACAGTTGATACCAATAAAACCTGGTTGGCAAATGCACATATATCCACCAATAAGATCAGAGCATCTAGGATGATATGAATAAAAAAAACAATCAGCTACAACAATTAAAAGTTACAACCTAGAAAGAAAACATGGATGGATGGATTTTTTTTGGGATAACCCATGGAGGTCATAATACACACAGGACCAACGACTTTAATGTCTCATCTGAAACATGGTGCGTTATTGTAACTTCCATTATAGCCCTCCAGCTGAAATACAAGGAGAGCAGCAATGGTAATTGACCTGGGGATGAAGAGACCGCCACAGTTCCGCTCACACACAGTGGCTACCACCAATTTATGCGACCAAGCTATGATGCTCTCTCATCCTTTTATAAAAACAAATCATCACATCACCATTATTATCATTTTATACATAAAAAAGTGACTGCAAAGCTGACTTACGTTCCATTGTTACAAGGAAACGGGATGCAATCATCAATGTTATTTTCACAGTTCAGACCAGCAAAACCATTAGGGCATTCACAAGCATAAGCATTCATCAGGTTAACGCAAGTACCACCGTTACGACAGGGTTCCCCGAGCAGCTCACATTCATCAATGTCAATCTCGCAATTAACACCTGCAATTAATTTAATTATCTAGTAAAATATCATATAAATATTTGACGTTTATCTCATCATCATAAATTATAATTAGCCAATGTTTTAAAACAACAGACCTTTCCGGAATGCCAATCAAACTTAACAACTGATCAAACAGACAAGGGCTTGGGTATGTGCTTGTCTCTCACACACACCTTATCCCACAAACACAAGTATTTTTTTTTACACTGTTGTTTTGTGGGACCTTAGCAACAATATCCAAGGGGTGGGGCTTAGTGCAAAGGTCATTTGTTTTCCGCTATGTTCTTACCAGCGTATCCTGGTCTGCATTCGCACTCATATGCTCGTAGCACATCATGACACGTGGCGCCATTCACGCATGGATTTGAAATGCATTCATTTATGTCATCAGTACAATTATTACCATTCCAACCTTCTGTACAATTGCATGTAAATCTGAAAATAGAGACAAATAAATCCTTAATAACCTTGTTTCTCTTTTTGCATTTCAATTCATTGATGATTATAAAAATAAAACATGGTTTGAGGTGAAGTAGTGAATTCTATTTCCCAAGGTGTTGGATGATTGGAACTAACCTCCCAATGTGAATTAATATTTATGATGTATAGCAATAACTATGGACCAGAACACATTGCCAACTATTTTCAACAATGCTTAAGAAATAGCACTAACCCATTGATACCATCTACACATGTCCCTCCATTGGCACAGGATCCTGGGAAACAGTCATTAATATTAACCTGACAATGAACACCTGTGAATCCAGATGCACATGTACAGGTGTAGCTGTTAATATCATCATAGCATGTTCCATTGTTCATACAGGGGGTGGAAAAACACTCATCAACATTCATTTGGCACTCTCTACCACTGAACCCTAAGAAAGAAGCAGAAACGAAATATGTTATTATCAATGTGTTATATTAAAACTAACATTAATATTTTACATCTTATTGACTTGAGTATAAGAAAAGGCTTTGTACCAAAAGATCATGTGTATCTTTAGAATTACAATATCTAAAAACAATGTCTTACCTGGTTCACACAAGCAAATAAAAGTACCGTTGCTAACAGTTTGACATGTGGCATTATTTTCACACTGGTCGTTCACCTTCCAGCAGGGGTTAAATTCAACTTCACAAAGATCACCAATATAAAATGGAGGACACTCGCAGATGAAGCTACCAATCAAGTCAACACAGGTACCGTTGTTTTGACACGGTTCTGACTGACATTCATCAATTTCTTCTTCACAATTCCTGCCTGTATATCCAATACTACAATTACACCTATGCAAACAAATATTATAACAAATTCACATCATTATGTATGAATTTATAATAAGAATAATAATAACAATAATAATAATAATAATAATTATTATCATTAATATTATCATTTATATTTTATTTCAGTTTCGTTCAAAATATTCCTATAAGAGAAAATGGAATCCACCTACTCATAGTCTAAAAATAAATCGATGCAGACTGCTCCATTTTGACAGGGGGATGATTCACACTCATCGGTTTGTAATTCACATAAATCGCCTTCGAATCCCTCGGTACAGGTGCATCGGTAAGCCTCATTCAAATCTTCACAAGTAGCATTGTTCTAAAAATATATATAACATTTATAATTAAATATGATTATATACATAAATACGATAAATGAGTACTTTTTCCCTATCGCAATGTAATCTCTAGGCCCTCACTTACAACAAACAGTAAAGAAGACTGCGAACTCTAAGACAAGAGAGATAGACCCTTTGACCACCTAGGCCAGGAAGTAGGCCTAGGCCTACTTGGTGAGTACTCTTTTAATTTTTTTTTTTAGGCCTCGTAGAATCTATTTATGAGGTATATAAAACAAATATTGATGCTCTAGATTCAGGGGATGGTGAAAACTATAGCACTCAATAGATGATGTTTAATAAAACACAACTTACCTGACATGCATTATTAATGCAATCATTGATGGGTAAACTACAATCAAAGCCAGCCCAACCGGGGGCACATAAACATTCAAAGCTGTTAACTCCATCCACGCAGAACCCGTTACCAGTGCAAGCATCAAAAGTACAATCATCTATATTAAACTCGCATCGAGGGCCTGACGGTAAGAATATGGATTCAATACAAAGTTTAATTTATTAAAAATGTGAACTACTCATGATACATTATATATAATATATAAATAATTTAAACAATTTTAGGAACATATTTATAATGAATGAAAAAGATATCTTCTGTTATTGTTTACCACTATTTTATTTTTAGAAAGATAAAACATACAGAAAAATGGCTAAAACAAATGGAGTGAATTTAAACTAAAAATAAATTACAAAATATAATGTTAAATAAAACAAATACTAAAGTATACCTGCAAATCCAATTAGACAGTCACAAAGAAAGCCATTGGGAAGCCTCTCTAAGGCGTTGGTGCAATTCCCACTGTTTTCGCATGGAAACACCTCACACGGAAGCAATGAGCAATCGTCACCACGATACGGCAGTGGACATGTACAAATGAAATTGTTGACCTCATCTTGGCAGGTTCCATTTCTCTGACAGGGGTTTGATAAGCATTCATCGATTTCAATTTCACAGTGAACGCCTGAAAAATATATATTTTTAATAATAATAATATACGAATAATATAAATAAAAATAAATTAAAGGTGACACAAGCAGTTTTGTTTTTTAGAGACATTAAAGATGACTATTATCATAGCAATAGTGTCTAAAATACTACAAAATATGATGATGATATGATTATGGTGACGATAATCATGATTATGGTGATGATAATCATGATAATGATATGATGGTGGTAGCAATAAATTACATGATGGCTGTGTTGTTGACAATGACAAGGATTATAGTGATGATTATTTTCATTATATGATGTTGATAATGAATATAATTGTGGTCATTGATGAACAAGATGAAAATGATATTGATGACAGTAGTGATAACAACTATGTGGTGTAGATGAATGTCACGAGTATAGTGATAATGATGGCAAAAATTACATTTTTTGCTTAAAACATTACAATCACATTCACCTCCCCTTGCTATAAGAATTTCATAACTAGAATATGAAATATATATTGTGAAACATACCTATGTATCCTGGTTTGCATAAGCATTGGTATTCATTCAGCAAGTCTACACAAAGTGCTTCATTGGCACATGGAATCGAACTACATTCATTAATCTCATCCTAGATAACAAAAAAAAAACTAATTAGTGGATAAAAAAATACAATATATTTTGTAAGTGTCTCACTATCATGCATAGAAGCATTTCCTCAAAATTGAAAGGTCTTCCACTTTAATTTGCTATATAACAATCAAAGTCATAATGAGAAGCATTTAAACTTAAGCCTTAGTATTAAGCACTATATAATTAATTATATAATATAATATAAATTACTATTTATTTAAAAATTATTCTCTCAAACTGAAAGTGTATAGAAGCAGTTAGCATACACTATATAAGGTTTTTATTAAATACATTCCACTTCAAAGAATGTCAATTAAAAACATATATTGAGGAGATGAAATATAGAATCAAACTATGGGTGCACATAAAATATAGTTGTGCAGCACCTAATAATAAGGTAGCAGTACTTACCTCGCAATAAGTTCCATTGTAACCAGCACCACATTGGCACTGAATGGAAGCAATGCCATCATAACATGTAGCATTATTAAAACATGGCTGGCTCAAGCAATCATCAACGTCCACGTAGCAGTTGTCTCCACTCCAGCCATCTCGGCAGAAACACTGGTATCTGTTTTCAAAATTCATACAGATGCTGCCAACAGGATTACAGGGCTGCGAATCGCATTCATTAATCGTTATCTCACAGAAGTCACCTGTGAAACCTTGTTGACATGCGCAAGTATACGTATTTATTCCATCTATACATGTGCCATTGTTCCTGCAGAGATGACCGTCACAGTCATTGATGTTACGTTCACAGTTAGTTCCTGTGAAACCGGGATCACAGAAGCAGATATAAGAGTCAAGATCATCAATACATGTTCCCGAGTTTTGGCATGGGAAAGACAAACATTCATCCATTTCCAACTCACAGAAAGTTCCTTCATAACCACTTGCACAAATGCAATAGAAATTGGTATCAAACTCCCCGCTAGGATTGTCAGTTGCATCAGTACATGTGCCTAAATTCATACAAGGCATTTCATCGCATTTTGAAATGGTCTTGTTGCAAAATTCCCCTGTAAAGCCTACATCACAACTACATACATAACCACCAACACGATCAACGCATGCACTACCCATACTGCACAAATTTCCAATACAGTCATCAATGTTATGTTCACAGAATGTACCGTTGAATCCTGACGGACAGAAACATGCGTATTGATTCACTAGATCAATACATGTTGCACCATTTAAGCATGTCTCAAGATAAAGTTCGCATTCATTGATGTCAATCTCACAATTTGACCCTGTAAACCCGGAAAGACAGCCGCACTGATATTTGTTCGGTCCGGTATCAAGACATTTACCATCGTTTTGGCAAGGTGCTGAAGAGCATGGCGGTAACTGTTCACACACAGAATTATAGACTGCATCATCTTCTGGACATATACACAGAAAGGATCCAAATAAATCTTGGCATGTTCCATTTCCACATGGGTTGGTTAAACACTCATTGATGTTTTCATTGCACAGCTCGCCAGTATAACCTAAGCCACAGATGCAGCTGTAAAATAGTAAATTGACATCGTATTATTCCTCAATCTGTTTTAAACTTGCTTTAATTATATAATGTTTTGAGCTAAAAAATACAGTTCAAAATTTTAACTGATTACTTTTGTGTTTTATAATCCCATTTGAAAGTTAATATGAGAAAATATTATTTCTTTAAATATGTTTACATAAATTATGTATTTAGGATTTTAAAAAATATGAAAATAATTTTTAAGGACCCAGAATGACAACACAAAATTGGATAGGCAGCTTTAAATGCAAAAAGCAAATAAATAACTTTAACTCAGATTACAGACAATAATACACAGACATTTAACAATTTTCTAAAATTATGTAAGCTTTGGGCTTCCTTTATGCACTGAGTGAAGACTAGATGTTTATTAATGTTTTGTGTTATGAACTTATTTTACTAAATTAGTAGGATTAGAAGACCTATTCTAAAATAAAAATCAACTTAAAGCAAAGGTACAGTACCTGAAACCATTTATCAAATCAACAGATGTAGAGTTCATTTCACATTCATTTTGCAGACATTCATCAATTTCCAGGTGGCAATAGACACCTGTATATCCAGGTAGACAAATACAGGTGAAGTTATTGAAATGATCAATGCAGCTGGCAGTGTTGTTAGCATCACACAGATTTAATTGACACTCGTTTGTCTCTATGTCACAGTTTTTACCTTCGTAACCTAAACAAGAAAAAAAGTTACAAATCAGTAACACATAAAGAATATGTCCCATTATATTAAAATGGCCCTTACCTACTATATCTACATAAATATTCAAATTAAAGGATATATTTTTTAATTTATATTTTGTATGTGTGAGACATCCTGTAATGGGCGATATCGCTGTTGGATAGTTAAAATAAAATAGAAATAATAGACTGAAAAATTATCATCATAAATACAGGTCTCCCTCCAATTGAAGACCACTTTTGGGACTGGCGTTTCCATGGTCTTTAGCAGCTTTGGTCTATAGAATAATAATAAAAGAAATTAGTTAATCAGGATCCACAAAAAAGTGGAGGTGGTCTTTAATTGGAGGTGTTTTAATTTAGAGAGAGACCTGTATTTTCATTATATACACTATGGCATAAAAACTTCCAGTTCTTGTAAAAGAACTTTTCCAAGAAAATGTCAAAATCAACCATTTGAGAACTAAGAAAACATAAGCTACATACCACTGGTACATATACAATAGTAGTCCCCGAATATATCATTACATTCTGCACCATTTTGACATGGAAAGGTCAAACACTCATTGGCATTCTGGTCACAGATGTCCCCCATGTAGGCTGCAGGGCAGGAGCATGTGAAATTTCCAAGGCCGTTGATACACGTTGCATTATTCAAGCATGGGTTGCTGAAGCATTCGTTTATATCCAGCTCACACTGTGCACCAGTTAAACCTGTGCGAAGGTCAAAGAGCATGTCATGGGTCACAACCATGTCTTTTTTTGTATGCATTATCATTCATGTTATTTGGTAATACAAATAGAAAATGTCAACATATTTTCATTTAATTTATTATTCAATTCAATCACAATTTACATGATAAAAAGTGGTTAGGGACAGCTAAAGAGAATAAACTCTCTAAAACCCATTAAGAACCATCTGTCCCAATGTATCACCACTGCACGGAGAATCCAGACATTAAGTTTGAATATTAATTTTATTGTACGTACATATAGCTACTACAGGTATATCAATGCAATAATAATTTTAAAATATTCAAAAAATAATATTGATTTCATTATGGATATTGTCTTTTCTAAACAAATTATTTTTATTGGTTGATTTATTCAATTGATGGGGGTTTTAGCAAAATAATGATGTAAAAATTAATGTCAAATCACTGGTATAGTCAAGATAATGAGGACAATTCTGTTCACCTGGTGGACAAAAACAAGTAAATCTGTTGATACTGTCGACACAGAGACCGCCATGACATGGGCTACTTGCACATTCATTGGTGTTCACTTCACAATTTGTTCCCTGAAAACCTGTTAAGAAGTAAATTGTATTCATTGCAGGATTTTAAGAAGATTAATTAAATATTAAGGATTAAATTTCTTGGATGAATTAAAAAAAATATAATGTGACGAGCAAATACCTGTATGTTGAGTGGGAATAAAAATAGAGTTGGAAAAGTTGAGGAAAAACTTTACTTGGTATAGTGATGGGAAGAGTAAATACATGGTGTCTGAAATACTTATGTTGAGGAAAGGGATTTAAAAAGATATTGAGTGTAGTAAGTATGTCAATGGAGGTAGTATAGTGGGTATGTTGATTGGAAGTAATATTGTAAACATGATATCTCAACAAGTCTCTAAACACAAGAATATAAATGGAAATAAATACCTTCTTAAGGCAAGGAAAAGGGAAAAAATATGTGTAGGGTATTTAAAACATAGTAGTATATGTTAAACAAGAGGTACCGCTAGGGAGGGCTAATTCAGGGATGTAGTTATGGTGGGCGGGGCCACCAACCCTTGAAATTTTCTCCCAGTCTACTGTAAGCTAATTTCATGGCCTTCCACCCACCCTTATTACCCCAATTTTCCATCTTTAAAATTCACTCTTATTATTTAGAGTTTATTAATGTTATTACCTACCCACCCATCCATAGTGTTCTACAGCTACAACCCTGGTTATTGGAAATAAAAAGAATATTTGGTGCAAAGTGATGTGGTACGGATGGAAGCGGGAAAGATAAAGAGAAGAGTGTCTACATGTAAGAAAGCAAATAGAAAATTTAAAAAAATTGACACAAAGTGACATAAAATAAAAGAAGCTTTGATGTACCTGATGCACATGTGCAGGTGTAATTCATACCATTGGCTGATTCTTGGCAACCGGTTGCATTATTTAAACAATATCCAAATGCACAGATATCAAGATCAATAGAACAATCTTCACCCGTAAAACCTACATAAATTAAATAAATAAAAATCAATTAGAATTAATACACAAGCAATTCTCTATTCAGTTCAATTAAATCCATGAAAACACGTAAATTACTGTGTGCAGGTCTTTTCAAAGATGGATATGTGGGTCTTTACACTTTTCTATTAGAACCTCTCATTTGGGACACCCATATTAAGGGGATATCCCTATTAAGGGGACACTTTTTTGGCCACGAAACTGGGAAAAGTATATCTTTTAACACTGCGGCCATTCAGAGGACACTGTTTTCTTTTAGTTTTTCTATTAATAGAGGTTCTACTGTAGAGTAATAATTATAGAATAAATTTCTTTGTTTAAGAACACATTTTTTAGAAACGTAATAAATTCCTGTACTTACCTATTCCACAGAAACAGATGAAGCTATCACTAGAGACTTCAATACATACACCATTATTTAGACATGGATTGGAGTCACAGATATTGAATTCTTCATCACAATCAACACCAGTAAATCCCGGTGGACATATGCAGTCATATGCAGCTGTCCTATCCACGCACATCGCGCCATTCTGACATGGCCCAGACTCACATTCATTGATGTCAACCTCGCACATAGCTCCAGAGTAACCAGGTACACAGTTGCACGTGTAACCTGTGATCTCATCCACACACGTTGAGTTATTAGTACAATTGTTTCCCTCGCAGTAATTTATGTCCGTCTCACAGAATGTGCCTGCGAATCCTGCCACACAACGGCACGCATAGCCGTCAACTTGTTCAACACAAGTTGAATTATTAGTACAATTGTTTGAGTCACAAAATGGCGTGAAAATCTCACAGTTTTGTCCGAAATAGCGTGGAAGACAGTCGCATGCATAACTTGTATTATTGATAGGTTGGCACGTTCCATTATTTTGACAGGGATGGGAAGAACAGTTGTTGAGTGATACTTCACAGTTGACACCTTATTAATAAATGTACACAAAAATATAAATAAAAACTTAACATACAAAATGTAATGCTTTTATATAAATCTCAGTACGAAGCTTAGCCGTGTTCAGATTGGACCTTTTTGGACAATCTAATCATGCATCTGCTTAGCCTTCACCATGGTAAATTTAACAGAGCATTTGTGACAAGGAAAAAGAACTAGGCTATTTCACTCAGCAGTGCATACTTAGAAATTTAATGCCCATTTTGTGTGCCCCAAAAGTTTGTATAATACAATACCTTAGTAATAATAGGAACAATGCCTTAAGAACACATACTCAGCTCCCAATACTGGTACCAAAAAAAACAACTCTTGGCTATTAACCTACAAGCAATTTGCAAAAGCAGGAAGTGAGCCCATAATGGGTTCAGAGACAAAGTTGCAACTGTGGTGAAAGTATTAAACACAGGAAAGAAACGGTGACATCGTACCTGCAAAAAGTTGTGTATCGCATAGACACCTGTAGCTGCTGACCTGATCAGAACATATGGCACCATTCTGACATGGAGATGATTGACACTCATTAATATTCGTACTGCAGGTTTCACCTTCAAACCCAGGTGTGCAGGTACAGTCGAATGCATTGATTAAATCATTACAGGTGGAGACATTGTCACATGGTGATGAGGAACATTCATCAATGTCTGTTTCACATTGACCACCTGTAAACCCAGGTGAACAAATGCACCTGAAAAAAATAATTATCAACACATCCATCACAATTTATAATAACGATAATCATTTTTTATGAAGTAATTCATTTTTGTTTATATGGTTGTTTGTTTATATATTTAGATGGACTCTTTTAAAACAAATATATTGTACTGATATGTTACAAATATACTGATATGTTGCATTAATAAATTTGAAAATTAAAATTCAGAATTTTAATTATTAGCATTCAATTAATTTAGTATATACTAAAGAACGACAAAATGTTAACAGTTCCATTTTCTTCATAGACTTTTAAACTGGTTTGCAAGTTGCAGTAATTATAAGAATTTTTGTAGCTAAGGTTCCATATCAGTGAAAAATAGATTGGAAGATAGGTTGGAAGTTAATACTTATTTATCCTTTAAAATGAGAAATTCAAAGTTTGAGGGGGTTTTATAAATTTTTATTCAGATTTTAAAGATAAAATGAAGATCATGTAACTGATATCCACATTAATAGTTATATCAGGAAAAAAATCAGGAATTTATGGGGTTATTAAATAATCACCGATAAGAGTTGATATCATCCTGACAAGTTGCATTGTTCCTGCACGGGTTGCTACTACATTCATCCAGATTGACCGTACAATTGGTACCCTGATAACCAGCCTGGCAACTGCACATGTAACCCCCAGCCACGCTGGTACAATTGCCACCATTCATGCAAGGCTGTATAAGATACAGATACAAAAAAAAACAACATATAAATATGGTACTCTAATACTACTGGTTGCAGTGGCATATCTTAGGGTTTTGAAATAGGAGGGGCTGAAAAGTGAAGTTGGGGGGCTTAATGATTAGGTGTTCGGGGAGGTGGGGGGGGTGCTTGCTCACAAAATATGGTATTATAATTTGATATTTAACTACTTGAAGGTAATTTTTGGCTTCAAACATACATTTCGAGTGATGAGGGTGGGGGTGACTCTAGATATGCCATATTGCATCATCAACAACTGATACAAAACAGATAATTAAAAATTCATATAAATTAATTAATATTAAATAAAATGTAGGATTTCCGTTACAATGTCATTTATGAAAGTCTGTGATATACCATTAAATCTAGGTCTTATTAAGAGCATTGACATATGCTAAGAGTAGTGACGAAAACTGAGAAGTGAAGGGTGCTAGCTGGGAAATAGAAATGCCTATATGAAGCTAGTGAGTGGAGTTGTTTTAAAATTACAGGATTTGAACCCATAACCCTCATAATGGAAGAAAAGTGCTCATAACAATCATGCAGCAGCTGCATTTTCAAAAAGATTATAAAATTGTAAGGTACTACACACCTCCATTTCAAAAGTCAACTTACTTCATTTACACAATAATCCTTTTCAGCCTCACAATTAACACCTGTGAAATCTCCAACACATCTGCATATGTAACCACCTGGTGAGTCAATACAGGTGGCACTGTTCAAACATGGACTAGAACTGCATTCGTTGACATCAATGCTACAATTGCCACCTGCCAATTAATAATGTAATTTTTTTTATCAAACCATCATAATCATCATCATCAGTGTTAAATAATAAGATTCCACACAATTCGAATAAATTTTTAAAAATCATGTAAAACATTATATAAAGTACAAAGTATCTGATAATAAACTCACCTGTGAAACCTTCACGGCAGATACAGGTAAACTGGAACCCAACATCACCATCAATACATGTCCCATCATTTAAACATAATGAAGAATTACATGCATTGATATTTACTTCACAGTTAGCACCAGTAAACCCTAGGAAAAACAATTCAAATTTACTGTACTGTCCCTAACTTCAAGTAATACATGTGCAACGATTTTCTCAATGTAAATTTTCTATTTGACATACAAATTTGATTAGATTTTTTATATGAATATGCAATTGCATGTAAGGTGCTACTAGAATTTATGCTGTTAAAGGACCTTCAACTTGCACAGGCATATCTTTTATACCAGTCCAGGCATTACACAAGCAAATATTAGTTCTATAGGCCAACATATACCTACCAGAAACACAACTACATTCATAGAAGCCTATTCCTTCTTGGCATATTCCACTATTCTCACATGGGTTTGAACTGCATTCATCAAAATCAACATCACAATTAAACCCTGTATAGAAAATATAATGTAATAGTCATTCACTTTAACATCAATGTACCAACTATTATTTATTCTAGTAGTGAAGATTCAAAATTATTTTATTGTTCATAACATAACAAGATGTATTATGATTAATTTCCACATTAAAATATAGATTAACACATTGACTGCCATTGACGATGAGTAAACCTGTGAAATAAAGTGTTAATGAAGCACCACGATGAGTATGTTCATAAAAAGCAAAGTGCATATATTTTTTTTTTTTATTTGGTTTATTTATATAGCACCATTCTTTGCAGATAAGAACAGTAGCGGCTCTAGGATATATTTTATGGGGGGAGGGGCTAAGCTGTCCGACAGGGAGCTGGGAAAAGGGGTTGAACGGGGGTTTCCCCTCCCAAATGAGATTTTTAAAAGATTGCTTCCTCACATGATTGAATTAAAGTATGACTGAAGTTTACCTGTGTAGCCTGGCTGACAGTTGCATACATACCCTGGACGGCCTTCCAGCTCACCGAGATTGGAGCAGTTCCCATTCACGCATGGATTGAAGAGGCAGTAGTTAATGATATCATCACAGCGATTACCTGTGTAACCTGGTGGACAATTACATACGATACCAGTAACACCTGTGCTGCATGTTCCTCCATTTGAGCAGGTGTCATCAAAACATAGGTCAATGACTTCTTGGCAGAATTCACCAGCAAATCCTGAACTACAATTACAAGTAAAGCTAGTGGATTGTGGGATGCATGTAGCACCGTTCAAACATGGCAATGAGAGGCACGTGTCCTCAGGTTGGTCGCACAGCTCTCCGGTTGTTCCAGGAGCGCATAAGCAAATGAAGCCACCTGTCTGTTCAACGCAAGTGGATCCTCCTTGGCAAGGCTGTGATGCACACTCATCTGGAATACAAAAAAATAGTAGAAAAAATATATTCTCATTTAGCAACTAGAAAACATATAGGCTTTTTATATAACTATCAACTGGGAATTGCTTGAGTATCAAAAGTATCATGCAAGTTACTATCATTTTATTCCTCAACCTTACTATTGACAAAGGGTTCGTGCATCACGGATGGATGTTTGTATATAAATAAAGATAACAGCATGCTAAAAAGAAATAAAAATGTACATACTGTAGAAAAATTAATTAGGTATACATCAACTGAACTAATTAAAGATTAAAAAACAAAATTGGAACCATGGCTTTTATCCATTGTTTTAATGATTATACTAATTAAAAATATATAAAAAAATTGATATAAATTTAGAAACCCTTCTATATAGGGTGAGACATATTTAAGGAAGTTAATGAATATTTGTCAAAATGTCCTGAGAAAAATGTGTCTTTTTACAGAAACAATTAAGGGATAACAAATTGGTTAACTACAATAACTACATGCCAGTTAACAAGTCTTGGGTTCGATTCCTGATAAGGACACAGTTTTCTCAAAATAATAATTAAAAACATAACTAATTGAAAGAGAAAGTAAGACATTCTAATGATTAAATAATTGTTACCCAGAGAAAAAAATTACACTAAAAGTGAAAAAATGAAACATGCAACCAAAACAAAATAAAATTATAAAGAAAATAAAATATTTGAGATAAACCTAAACATACTTGTTTGACGTTTGTTTCTTACTGGCAGGGTTTGAATGAAGAATAAACATGTTTAATATTGATCAAAATATAAAGAAAATAACCTTAATATTTAAAGAAATTAAACATAATTATTTATAGTGAGGTTAAAAACAACTTAGTGGAATATTCCCATAGAGAAAGTTCATAACAAGTTTAAAAGAGTATGAGGCTTCTGATTAAAATTATGTTAAAATTGTTGTTAGTGTTTAGTTGTTATTTCCCAGAAGTACTAAACTTACCAAAGCAGCTCTTGAACCTAAAATAATACATTTAAGACATTATTAGGATAGTTAATATAAATACTATATGGTATAAAAATGAAGTATTTTATTCTTAATTCAAAATTTATAGTGACACCCCATCCACATTTGATAACAATAAAGTACTTCACTATATAAAAACTATACAAAAGAGTCTTGTCTTTGATTTGGACAATTTCAATAAAATGGATTAAACATGTGATTTGACGGAAATATATTCCTTTACCTATATTATTTTGTTCGCATCTGAGGCCAGAGAAACCAGGTGGACAAAGGCACACAACACCTTGAAATATGGAAATACAGGTGCCACTGTTCAAACAAGATGATTCTGTGCAGTAATTTTCCAGTTGAAGACAGTCAGAGCCTATAAAAATTAAACCAATCAGAATCAAATGAAACACTATTGTAGAGACTGAAATTGAAGACATTACAAATAATGCTATCTGTGTTGATTAATAAGTGAACTGAATAAAGCCCAATCCAAACTACAGTTCCCAAATATGGACGTGATATGACATCATCGTTTGGGATAAAAATAAATGCCTAGAGGAATATATTTGAGGAAGGTGTTTATTCCAAATATGAGGCTCTGTGGGGGGGGGGGATTGTTATTTGAGGTATGCGTGTATTTAAAGCGGGGCGTTTATTTGAATAAATTTCCCTAGTGTTATATGCATGTAAAAAACATCAGAGTTCATTCAGTTCAATTGAACATTTATTTACTTCCTTTTTGAATCAGACAAATACATTACAATTGATTTAAAATAAATTGAAAAAGCCTGAGAGGAAGAAGGCAAGAACCATTGAATTATATGCTTCATGAAGATAATTGAGTGATTTATTGACCAAGAGATGAATATTACCTGTGAACCCAGTGTTGCAGGTACAAACATGTGTATTGTTTGTTATGTCTTGACATGTACCATTGTTGCACACACCTGCTCTGCAAGGGCCTATGATCTCCGTACAATTGAAACCTATCAAAAGGAAAATTTGATTAGGATGTTAGGTAAACACAGTATTGTAAATGGTACCTAAACATTAAAAAAGTCATTCATATTGTGAAAATGGTTTACCACAATTTCAAAATAAAAACAATTTCCTAGTGGAAGGTGAGACTTCTTTCATTCCTTGTTTTGCAAAGACCTTCAGAGGAGGGTAGAAAAAAAAAATTGTTTTCTTATTTAACAAATATTTTTGCCCAAAACATCCAGATGGAGGAGAAAATAAAATAAAATGTTATTGGTGAATGTAAACAGTGTAGTAATGGGAAGGTTAAATGCTTTGAATTTATATTAAAATTAGGAAGAAATATACATATCTTTGGAGATTTAAAGGCAAGAGCGGGTGTAATAAAAATAAAGAAAAACTTTTATATGGTTCTGAAATTTCTATTTTTTTTAGTGGCTGGTGTGCTAATTGGCCAAAAATAAAATTTTATTTTTAAACAAAATCATCATTATTGACGAGCGGCGGGTTCGTTATAACAAGGTATAAAAAAGTCTCGCCAAAGGCAATTTGTATGGGAGCTGCATATCTTGCAGCATAGCTTTGTGGCTTACAATGTTTGATTTCACATTTGTTTTTATTTATTTATTTGGGTGTACACACACGTGTTAATGATTGCTAATAGTAAATATAATATCACTGTTTTTTTCACACACAATGCTTTACACAAACTACATCTATGTCTCAATGTGAGGCTGCAACACTGACAGGAATTGAACCCAGGACCCTGAGAGTGGAAGGAAAGCATCTTAACCACCAAGCCATTCAACTCCACTCCATGCTTGTGTCAACTATAAATAAACTATATTAAAGTGTATTTTAGCTTGTATTGTAGTTTATGTGCAATATCCTATTTATACAGCGTATTGATTTTAGCAAGTGTATAGACACAGTTTGGTTTGCTTTCACATTTTATTATCATATATTTTATATATTTAGTTCATCTTGCAATTTGATAAATTTACTGTTTACGCTGTTGGATATTCCAATAACATACAAACTACAAGACAAAAAGGCTGGCTGTTTGTGAGTTGAAGTACAGCACTGTGTTTCTACTGTAAAGTATATCAGTTGCTTGCTAATTGTTTTTGTCACTACAGTTTGGTTCACTACACCACTTGAAAGATGCACACACATGTTTGGTATTGATTGGCAGATGTGTATTGTTACATAGTCTACAATGGCATACAAATGAGTCACATGGGCAAATCCATGTGACCACACCCAGATACAGCCTGTACTGTATATCGTCATCAGTGAAGATAACATCGTTAATTATAATTTTAATAAATATTATCGGTGGGTGATCAACAGTTTGATATACAGTAGACTTAAATGTTGTTTAATTGTTTAAAACATTAAAAGTCTAACTAAAATGACATATTCTAGTTGCTTTTAAAATGTCATAAAACAATAAAGAATTATATAATAAACATATCGATGACTTTCCTCTTATTTTTAGATAACACGTTTTTCTGAATAACAATTATCAGTCCTATAGTAAAATAAAAACAAACTAAAAACATCCACCAATATAATGGCAATTATGCTGTTAATATTAAGTATTTCTGCTATCAGACTGATAAAATCATCATCACCACCATCTTGTAAAAATTTAATAATTAGTGATTTTTTTTTCAAAATTGGTTTTTCATTTTAGAACATTTTCAATGTTCAAGATTATCTATCTCAGAATAGCTATTGGATTCAGAAGAAATTAATTAGCTACAGTATGCATCTGCAGGTCTCCCCAAGGGCTTGATTTTATTGTTTTGTCTGTCAATTATATTTACTGTACATTTAAATATGAATTTCCATGGTAACTGCCTATCAGGCTGAGTAAGAATTTAGATTTTGGTGATTTCGTCGTGTTGGAAATATTGGCAGATCAACAAATGTACAAGAGCAAGATTGAATAAAAAGCAAACATTTGTTTATTAAGGGAATTATTGATATCTCTATTGTGTTATGGCTATTTTTGTATGTATTGCTAGAATTTTGCATGACAATACAGTATTGCAGATATTAACTGTGGCAGATGCACAAATTCGAAATTGAGAAGGCCATGAGGGAAGGACTTTCACAGATAAAGGGTCCTCCCACATTAGCCTTATATCATGATTGGTCCTGAGGGAAGATTTTCAGGAAACGGCACGGCGCACTAGGTGTTCGGAAATGCCACTCTCAGTCTTTTTTTCTCCATTATATTTTTTATTTGGGGATAAATTATACTAAATTGAATATAAGACTACAAAATAATATCAACCACCTACAGTACAGGAATTTCACTATAATTAGTTCTTTCTTCTGCCTAATTCTACATAAATTTTTGGGTGTATTGTAAGCGGCGAGTTGAATGCTACAAAAATGTTTGAAGTACCTGTGAAACCATCAATGCAAACACACTGGAAGCCTGTACCATCTGGACCTTTTAGTAAATCCTCACAGAATCCATTTAGGCAAGACTTCCCATAGCATCCGTCCAGCTCCTGGCAAAATCCTCCATAATACGTTTCATTGCATTCACAATAAAAAGCATCTCCAAAGCTTGTCGATAAACACCTACCATGACCGGAACATTCACCACTGTCATCCGGTAGTTGACAATTCACAGACTTAATGGAGACAGTTAAACGGAGACCAAAATGACACTGACTGAAAGGGTCATTAGGCAGTTGAGCTAAATAGATTATACCAGACTGGAGAAATTCTGAGGGCACCATCAAAGTAGAATGTGACGATGAATTGATGAGCCACTGATCATTATTAACGTCATCAGTATTGCATGATTGAAAATCATCGTACGAAACATTTGCAGGAAAGACTACAAGGCCCTCAGATGGTACGAGATACAATGAGTCACCTTCTTGGATTTCAACCGGGCACAACTGAGGGTAGTTAAAAGAGTCAACGTTCTCAATACCGAAACATTCCTCAAACGTTTGGCACACTTTATCAACAGACCAATCTACAGAAATGTTCAAACTTTGTTCGTGATAATCCAAATTGTTCTTTTTACAGACAATACCGGTGACACAATTGGCAGACAATAAAATCACTAAAGTTATATAAAATATATGTATAAAATTTTGGTGGGTAAAGTTTGCAAATATTTTCAATGGAGTCACAGGCCAGCTGTGGTCACTGTCTTGAGGGTTGTTCTTCATATTGTAATTGCTGTGGATTCTACTGTCTGTATCACTGCATCAGATCATCTTTTTGATGAACATTGAATGTATCAGAATAAACATCAATTAAAACATAGAAAACCATCTGCAAGAAATAAGAAATAATTTACAATTGAACAACATAATTTTTATACTTCAATAATTATTACTTCTTATATATGAGGGCCTATTTTCTGCATTCCAGAAAATGAAAAATAATGTTTTAAAAGGGCATAAAAAGTAGATTCTTTTCCATAATGTTTAATTACCTAAAGAGTAAAAACTAACAAATAATTCTAGGACAAATTGAATATTATTACTATCATCATGAACAGAAAGAATAAATAATAATGTCCAGTCATGGTATCGATATTTATGTCCCAGTCATAACGGTTAAACTTAGCAAACAAACAAAAGCTAGGCCTAGGTTAAAATAATGTTAGGCCTGGCCCTAGGGCCTAGGCCTCTACTACTACTATCTAGAACAAAATTAGTCGCCTACTAGTACTGTAGCTGAGCTGAGCCCGAATTTAATTACCCAAAGCATGATGTAAGGGATAAAGCCGGTATCGGTAATCAACTAGGCCTACACTCTACTACTTTCTAGGCTACAACTATTATTATATAGGCCTAGGACTAGATACAAAATTAATAGTTGGTGACTTACTCTTTACATCTAAGCAACCCATTTACTGTCATTTATACGTTTTCTTTCTCTATGGTTAAAACAGTATTCTTCGTTTTGGAATGCTTGTTTCTGAAATTTGATCGCTGGCAAAGCGTCCGTTGTTACCAAAAGATGATCTCATAGTGTTTTGTGAGGGCGCTATACATGTAAACAAAAACATCATGATTCATCATTGAAAGGTTTAGACTAGGCCTGAAGGCTAGTAATAATCGTTTATTCTGTAGTATTTTAAAAGAAATATTTGGTTTTAACTATGGTATCCATTTTAAAATTTGTTCATTGTGAATCTGCAGAGATTTTTTGTTTCAATATACCGGCAGAATGCCCGATCTGCGGAGCTGATTTGTCATCACGTCTTCGTAGCCCTCCCATAGCAATCCCAACTCCATTTGTGAACGGGACAAATATACCCTGTTCTGTGCTCGTCAAACCGACGGTTGGTGGCTTCCTGAGGTAAATTTAGGCCTATACACTAATCTGTATAGGAATAATGACGTATTATATTTATTAGATCGATACTCAGTAGGCTTTTCCGAAGGACAGACTTGCATTGCAAGAGAGCGGCATAGATAAAATAGCTCATTTGGATAAACTGGTGGAGCCACCTGTGTGTGGTGAATCATTGGGTCTCGGGTTCAATTCTCATCACTCATCTTGTGTTTCAGCTGGATGACTGAAATACTAAGTATTAAAAAGTGTACCGTCTTTCGGATGAGGCGATTAAGCCCTTGTCCCCTGTGCAATATGGCCCATGGTACAATAAGAGGGGGGATTGTCTCCCGTGTATTGCCCATCCAGAGGCTGCAAGAAAGTTCATGATTTGCAACCAAACCAGTAAAATACTGTGCAAATGCCACTTCGAGCTAATGCCAATGCTAGTTTGAGCGAATGTCACTTCAAGAGATGCCATTTTGAGTTAAAAATGATCATGTTTTGCGAACACTAAATTTGTGGGAATTTATTATTTTGACTGAACTTAGATTCAGATTTTCTATAACTTAGCTTTTTTTCTCTGTTTAGTCTTACACATATTGCCATTCATTTTGGATAAATTTGCATCCACTTGAACTGGCATCCGCCCAAACTAGCATTTGCACGAAGTAGCACTCTGCTCGTATTCACTGACTTTCATTTGAACATTGCTCTGCCAAGAGTGCAGATATGTTAAGTAGAAAAGTATTTTTTAAAATTTAATTATCTTATTTTTATTACAGAGATTATAAAAATGGTTCAAATTTGCATACAGGTGTATCTGATTCAAAAGGTGTGTTTGTGTAGTTTATTTTTTGTATGTGCTTTGATTTGATAATTATACTGTACATCTAGACCCCATTATCATACCACCATATTATTATACCTCCATGATCACCCTTTTGGAATTGGGCTGCAGCGCTCATGAAAATAATGTGCCTGAATATGACAGGCGATTCCATTATTTCATTGAGGGTATGCTGCAGTTTCGCCCATCATACACAGCCTGCGTATTGTAGTGCTGTATCCAGGCACAGGGCGGAGTTAGTATGTACTCTATGGAGTGATTGCTCAAGTATAATGTAATGATATTCAAATAATGTTGACTTTTTTTGTTTTGGTCATATACTATACTACACTTTATTGTATTGTATTTTATTACACCTTATCTTATTTGCAGGTTGTATATTTAACTATGATGAGGATGGTATGCACTTGGATACAGATTCCAACAGCTGGAAAGATAGTCTAGCAATACCAGTTGTAGATCTTGTTGATGAGGAGCTTAAAGACGTCTGGGATAAGAGGCTACATTCAATGGCGACTCAGTCAAGTTGGCAGGCAACTAGGTAAGCTAAAATAAAGAAAAAAAATTGGTCTAAATGTCTCCTTTCACAATCATATAAAAATGATAACAGTATGGAATATTTTTTGGCTGATCATACAGATTTTTTTTTTGGTACAAAAATTATTAATTCAATTACACACCAATTTTAGGGTCTATTAATAGAATAAAGGAACTGTATTATGTATGTACCTGTAAATTAGTAAGGAAAATATATTTTTAATTAAATATCTAAAATAATTAAAAATATTTAATGTTATTTTTGATGCTCAAATGTGCTGTTTGTCTTCAATTTACTGTTTAAAATACAGTATAATATTAATATAATTGTATAAAACCCTGTGGAGAGACTACAGTATCAGATTTTAACAAAAACATGTGACATGCCTAAATATGGTCATGATGACATCATGACTATGATCACAATATAGTGATGTACCCATACATGGGCATGATGAACACATATTACACTCAAATATGGGCATAATCACATTTTTTGATAGTGGGACAGAGCACAAGATTTATTCAATTCCTAAGCTACATTTTTTTTTTTTGTATTTTTATAGGTATCACCCGGATTTACACAACTGTTTTGATTTTGTTGTTAACTTCTTGAACTGTGTTGAGTTTAACGTTTGGAATGAAAAGAGCAATGAACCGATCACACGGACTCAATTTTCAACTGCATATATCCTACCGGCCACGAGCAGGGCAGCACGATACATAGGACTATATCGTAGCATTCAGCTTCATGGCTCAGTCACTCACAAATGATTGGATTGGATTTATTTGGTTTGAATGTAATGAATGACCCACAAAGTTCTGAAATCTTAATTCCAGTGTTGTCCTTCTGGTGGTGATTGTGCAGTACACCAGGAGACAATCCCCTACTCTTTTTCAAAGACGGTATACTTTAACCTGTACATGGGCCATATTACACACAGAATCAACACTTCGAATGTCTCATCCAAAAGATAGTGCACTTTTTTATATTCCAACTGAAGCCCAAGGAGGGCAGCAGATAGAATTAAAAACCGGGTACAACAGGTTAAATGGATTTCCACGGTTCAGCGAACACACTGTGGCTACTGCTAATCTAGCAGACTGGAGTACTCGGTGGCACTTTGTGGTGTGCCTAAAAAGGAAAGCGTGGGGGATGAATTCGTCAGAAGAATATTGTGATATTAACTAACACCCCCCACCTGCCCAAAAGTTGCTGAGAAAACAAATTACACACAGTGTAAGTAAATCCTTGCCGAGCCACTAAGGCCCTTTGGGCTGGGGCTTATCCCCAGTTTCAAGTAGCGTGAAGCAGATGGGAGTGTGATGCCCTACCTGGTGGGGATGCTAGTCCACTGCAGGATACTCCCAGCAATATGCTGGTATCCACTGATACACCTAGGGTGGACTGAAGCAATGTACAAAGTTCCTTGGACACAAGCGAAATGCACAGCAAAGGATTGAAACCCCCGACCTTGAGGTGTAAAAACCAAACCGCCTCTAGTGTACCTCATATCAATTCATTCCCCTTAACTTGTTCGAGATATACCACTGATCACATTAAACAGATGAAATAATAACACTTTCTTCTGATTGATGTGTTCTTTCAGTGTTTTAAATGACACAAATGAAGAAGTCGCAAGATATTAATAGTCAAATGTTAAACTTCATATAATTTAATCTGATCAACTGTAAAATAATGATATCAAATACAGTACAAATGTAGATGTATGTACTTTTATTAAAAACTGAGAAAATGTCATCGCAAATTCTTAGCAATGGTAATCTAAAAATGAACATAACCACACACCTCCACACCCACACTAAAAAAATCTAAATATTACAGTAACAGAAACATTTCCATTTAAAAACAGTATACTATTCCCACCCCTC